GAAATTTGGTTTGGAGGATTTTTGAGAATTGTTTTGATATAGTGGGAAAAGGTTAAAGAATATTGTACTTCGTAGATTTTTTAATGGTTATTTTCGTTCCTCTTTTTGCTTTATTAATGATAGATTCTAGGTGATTTTAATGATGGGAGAAGGAAATTTGAAGTGGAGTAATTTTGGGGGTAGGAAGATTATTTTGGAGCTGTGAAAGGGGGTGTTTTATGTTATAAAATTCTTTGGATTGGATTTTTTCGCTTTTTTTGTTTCCTTAGAGCTGAGAGGCTTTGAAGTATACTTGTAAAGGATTCTATTCGAGGAAGTCCGAATTTAAGAAAGATTTTAATGAAAAGAAAATTATTTTGGAATTTCGGAGATAGGTTAAGGAGTTATTCTACTTTGTAAAGCTCGGAGGACTGGATTTTTCCTTTTGGGTTTCTGAGTGCTAGAACTCTTTAAAGTGTGTTTGTAAAGGATTTCGTCAGAGTTTTGTTTAAGTTTTCGTGGAATTATGGTCACCTGAATGGACTGAGGAACTGTTAAGCTGAATTTATAAGTTTAATCTTCGTACGGTTGAACTTCTAATAAATTGTTTAACAAATTTTGTGTGTGCAACTTGCACGCATTATTCCAAGTCGTAAAATTATCATGGAATTGGATTTTACGGTTTAATGTCTACCATGCTCATAATTTTCGTACTTTTTTAAATCCTGCGGTAGTTACAGTGTTCCAGGATTAGAAAAAATGCGTGTAGTTTATATTTTGAATTTTATGAGGGTCCTAAAAAAGGCCGGTTTGTCCAACATGTTTTTTTCGCAACATATTTTGACATTATGTCTAGCAACAAGGTTAAATGAGAAAAAATATCACGTTAGATTCCTAATGTTAATTCCCAAAGTACAGAAGTTGCTATTGTCTGAAATTTTTCTTTTCAGGGAACAAATTTGCAAGGAAAAGTCCTTTTTTTCATTCTATAGGGTTGAATAGCTTCTTGTTGGGGTTATTAGGTAAGAATCGTAACATTATTCCTCTACCTTGCTTTTTTCGGTAAAAAAAAGTTTAATAAGCAAGAACTTCTGATTTCCTCGACACTTGGAATATCCGTAAAAAAACTTTCAAAAAAGTATCAGGTAATTTCTTTCTCTTGCTTCCTTTCTTTTTTCAGTAAACCTTAATATTCTTGTTGTACTTCGCCCTCTTGTTCGGAAGAATTCTGCTTCCTCTTAGTATTATATTTTATTCTAATACTTATGTTTTCTGCAAATAAATCTGAATACATATAATTCAAAACGAGTCAAAGAAATACGTAATAAAAGTGCAATTGAACAAAATAAGAAATAATATTCAGAATGACATAAAAGCAGCGTACATCGTTGTTAATAATTCTCTATATTTGTTACTTAATAATATATTATCTTATCTTCCTACAATCGACATGGACTGAATAATATTCATATTCATTAAACTTAATATTAATAGTTTCCACCACGAGGTTGACTGAGTACTAAAAGACAAGGAACTAATAGTTTCTAAGATGTTATTCGTTATTTAAGTTCGCAGGTTAATTGGCGTGAAATTAATTCCAAGTGTGAGCGAGCACAAAGTGTGTTTCCGTCACGCTATGTTAGATGTGCAAAGGAAAGTATAGTAACTTCGCCTTGGACATTATACTGCTGCTCCTCTATTAATCAGACAGTGTATCTTGTTGAATAATCACTCATTTAAATCATTCGAGCAATCTCTGTAACGTGGGAATTTTTCAAAGAAAACAATTATCAACGGAAAGCATGTCGAAGAGTTTTGAAACCAGAAATACATAAATTCTATACTACTGTAAAACATAATAAAACACAATGAAACATAAGAAGAAAATTCACAGAAAAATTTGGAAAATCGTCAAATAGAAATTAGCAATTATTTTCGAGAAATGTGAAGTCTCATAAATTTACTTTCCTCGATAAAAATATAATTTTCTATTTTCATCCCCTATAATTTCATTTTTTCCAATATAACATAAAAATTATGATACATGAAATACATAAAAATTATTCAATCAAAGTTTAATACACTTTTAGCATGAAACAGTCAAGTTAATGAATTATTGAATTCTCTTTCGTTTATTTTCATTATTTTCTCCTAAGCATTCTGTTTTTCTAATTCTGGTTCTGTTTCCTGTATCCTCCCTTTACCATTTTCGCTTTCATATTTCTTTGTCTTCCATCGAGATTATATTTCCCCCTCCACTCAGTCCTAGAACATCCTTTTCTCTTTCTCTTTAAATTCCAACCTACTTTTTTTTTATTAAGCTGTCCGCCTTTTTTAAAGAATGCTCTTACTCCTTCCCTTTCCGCTTCCTGCAGAAATTCCTCTAGAGACGGTCTCGTGGACTTCGCTTGTCCCTGTACTTCTTTCATTCACTGGAATTATTGTTGGCCAGTCTCATTTTTATTACTCGTTGATGAAAAGATTTTTTATTTCTCGTAATTAATGTATAATCGTCGCTTTAATTTTTTAATTATCTGAAGAGTTTCTTAAGGACTTTTTCGCGCGGTACTTTTACCTTTTAGAAATGCCTGTGCTTTACTCGTTCGACGATCTTATTCCCTTTTTGGCAACAGTCGTGACCTTTCCTCTCTTTCAACGTAATAAGTTCAGGGTTCACTTTGTGGTACCTTTCTTGACGCAGCTTCTAATTCCTTGAAACTTTCTCTAATTGTTCATTCCTTTGTTAAGTTTCTCATTCGTGACATTTCTACCGACAGTCTTAACTGTTCTCCTTGAAACGAAGAATTAGGCACACGATACAAATTTTTCACGGAGGTAAGAAATATAAATAGTACTGTAAGTATAACATTTATTATATCTGTGTTTCATATTTATTATGTATGAATAATGTAAATATTACATTATGAATGGTATTATAAATATTAAATTATTTTTTATTTTGTTTGTATTATGTAAGAATAATATTACAAATATTATGTTATGAATGATATTATAAATATTATATTGTTTTTCATTTTGTTAATGACATTACGCACATTTATTTTCATATTTTTCTATGTTTTCCTGTTTTTGCTTTGAACATTTCTAGTCTAATTTTTTATTCTTCTACTCATCCTCTAATTTAGCTTTAATTCTTTCCCCTTTGATTACGATTCTATGTAACGTTCTCTGTAATCCTCTATATGATTCTCTAAACTAATTTGCAACCTTGAGTCTTTCTCGTTTCCTCTATTCCGTCTTGACAATACCTTCTTTTCAATTCTGTTTTAACAGAACGCAGCTAACAATTATACTTTCTAGCAGTACCACCAGTAATTCCGTTAATCACCCTGGAATTATATATTTTCTCCATGTATTGTACAGCTTTGCTGTTTTCTACGTCCCAGAATTATAATTATTGTCAAAACGAAAAGAGTACATGCGACTGCACTGAAAAAAATTATGATTAAACAAAAGATACGCAGGTATCTGGTTGCTTTAAAACTCAAAATTCACGTGAAACTGAATCGGTTTCATGAAATTCATGTGAAAGAAGGTCAGCTTTTTCATATATTTTGAACGGATAAATTCAAACTAACTTCTAGAACTATTTTTATAAGAATTATAAACATAACTGCTTTGTTATAAAATAATTACATAAAATATCACATTCATGTAACAATTTTTTAAAAGAAGTATACTATACTCTGTTTTCTACTTAGCACGCACACGTACAGTCCACCCGAAGCATTTTTAATTACCCCTAGGAAAGAACAAGAAAAGTAATCAAGAACTTTCTCCATTATACTCGAAGATAATTAAGTGTTTCTCCAAACAACCACCTTAATTATCAATAACTTAACAATCTCTACAATTTATCTTCACGAATCTCACAAACCAACAAAAAAGATTCGCCCGAAACCATCCCATTACGAATAAACAATAATCAACAAAAACCCGATTACATTACCAGCAGTTCTAAATATTCACACACAGATTCTCACCCAAAACCTTCATAACCTTCTAACTTCGTAACCTCCATAAAACAAGCACCTCATTAAATCTTCCACAACTATCTACAGCGTACATTCTCGAACAATAAAAAAACTGCACAAAATCCGCAAACCAATAAACAATCAGTATCTCCACTTCTCAAGCACGCCACAGTAAGACTGCAATCGTCTCGACGTCGTGATCCATAGATCTCCGGTAACTGTCTTGTCAGCGCAATAAAGGTTAAACTTCGCGCAATTAAAAAGTATAGCTTGATAGGAATTCGACGTGGCTGAGGATATTG